CATGGCCCACGCCTTCGGTCCGCCGACGTGAATCTCGCTCTCGAGGAAGCGCGCCCGCTGCATGACCGCCGCGTACTCCTGCACGACGGCCGTCGCTTTGGTAGCGACGGTCTTGGGCGTAGCAGCCTTTGCCTTCATTGCCTTGGCTTTACCCTTGGGCGCCGCCTTGCCCTTGCCCCTGCCCTTGGCCTTGCTGGAGGGGCTCCCCTGCTGGGTGCCCGCACCGCGCTTTCCCACAGCCGCCTGCTGGCGGCGGGCTCCCGCGTTCGCCAGCTCCTCGGCTCCTGGCGGAACCTGGCCCTGAGCTGGGGCCGCTTTGACGACGGCCGGCGGGGTGATCTCGACCGCAGGGCGAACTGCGGCGGCGGGCGTCTGCACGGTCGCCGGCGGCGGGGCGGGAGTGTTCCTCCGCTGGTCCATGCGCTCCTCCCTGTTCGAGCGGTCGATTTTGCTGTGCGTGACTGCGTCGGAAACGAACACCCGCCTGAACTCGAGCCTCTTGCTCTCCTTGTCGATCCTTGTGTGGCGGCCTCCCTTGCGGATCAAGTACATGGCCCTGTTGATGGCCCCCTGCACAGCCGCTGCCGTAGGGGGACCGCCACCTCCGCCCATCTCCGCGGTGATCAGGCCCTCGAAGGTCAGGTACCTCCCCTCTGACGTGTCGGTCTTGATGCGCTCGCTGATCTTGCTCCGCTTCTCCTGCGGAGTGTCAGGGGGAGGCTGGAGGAGAGGTAGCTATGGGGGGCCGACGGGGGCCGAAGCTGATCTGAGACAGAGCGATGAGAAGGAGGAGGGACATGGAGGAAACGTGGATAAGGGGGCCAGGGGTTATAAGTTTGATGAATCGCTCCTCGTAGATGTCGAACTGCTCCTTCGCCCAGTCCTTGACCCTCTGCTTGCGCTCGCGCGCCGACAGCTCCTGGTAGTGGTCATACTCCCTCTGGCAGCTGTTGCGGAACAACTTGTACCGCTTTCCGATGGGGTCAATGCTCCCCACGTCGAAGCCGCAGGAAGCGGCGTGCTCCAAGTTGTAGTCGCGCTCTTCATCCAGCAGCTTCCTAGCCGCCTTCGTCTCCTCGTCCTCGTCATCCTCCTCGTCGCTCACGGCGTCTCTGTTCACCTCCGACCGAGCGAACGCCTTCATGAGCTGCGCTTCGAAGTCCACGCCCTGCGGCGGTGTCTCGTTTGATACTGCTGTTGCTGGTATTGCTGACGCTGTCAATCCTCATCCTTATCTTCGTCGTCACTATTCCTCCATACCTTTCTCACTCTCCTTCCCTCATTTCCCTCCTCCCCCTTGCTGCTGATGCTCTGCCAAATCCTCCTGACTCCTCCTTGCGCCGAGCCCAATCCGACGTGGCAGCACGCCCTCCTGCCTTCGCCTCTGCCGCGCACCCCTTCACAGCACGAATAAACGGAGTTGGACGCCAGGGCAGAGCACTGGACGAGGTTGTGGAGGAGGAACAAGCAGACGAGGAAGAGGATAGAGTGGGAGCAGGAGGAGGACCATTAGGAAGAAGGGCGCAGGAAGAGGGGAATTAGGAGAAGAGGGTGCCACAGAATCAGCATGAAAAGCAAATGAAGCGGGAAGCCAAGCTGCCTTGATGGTGATCGCGCCCGCGCTCTGGCCGGGGATCCCCGCGGCGTCGAACATTGCCTGGCGCGAGCGCGCTCGGAGAAAGGGACGGGGGGGCAACGCAAGCTTTCGGAGTGTCGTAGCATGCTCGAAGGGCCACCTGAGGCAGCGGCAGTCCCCCCGACCGCAATCCGCTCGAAATCGGCCCCCAGACCCTTTCCAGGGTCCAGACTGCCAAGTTTTCCGAGCTGCTCTCAGCCATGGCGACGATGCCTATGCATCCCACGGGCATCGATTGGACCATCGAGGCGCCGTCTTGAGGCAGATAGAGGGGTCCCGAAGATCGCGACGGCCACACATTCCTCAAAGGCAGCCAGAGTGACAACACCGAATACGATTTGCACGAAGGCTAGGCAATCGGAACGAGTGGACGGAGTCGTCTAGGAGGACGGAAGGAGCCGAAGAGGAGTAGAGGATCTGGACGGAGGGAGTCGAAGAGAAGGTATCAAGTGCACTAGAGATTTGGGAGTCCAATTCGAAAACCTGGCAAATATCAGAGTCTCAGATTGAGGGTGGCCGAACGGTCCTACACCGTACTTGCGTGCGCGGCGAAGTTCTGCGGTGCGGATCTCCCTCGTTCACGACCCGCCCGCGACCCGCCTGACTACCCGCCCGCGACCCACTAAAACGTTTGTTGCATGTGTAACAAACAACTGCGTTTGGGGCGGACTCTTTCACGTGGGTTTTCGATCCTCGCCGAACGCCGACGACCTCCGCCCGCTCACACTTTTCCGCAACTTCGGTGGTCATGATATTTCTTCACTCTGCCGTGTGACAAACCAAGTGTATCGCGCGCAGTGGTGCCTCACAGGATCTACGCTCGGCCAGACAGCACAATGCCGATGCATCTCTGCTCTAGCTACGGCGGACGTGTGCAGTGACCTAAGACCTACCCCTCCCTTTTCTGTTCTCACCATCCTCGATCTGTACTTCTGCGTATATAATAGACGTACCTCCCTCGTTCCATCCCTCCCCATACCTCTCTCTCTCTCTCTCTATATATATATATATGTGTACATCTCTCCCATATCTCACTATCCCTCTCTACCTGTCTCTCCCTCTCCCTCTCCACCGTTCCGCCTCCCTCTCTATCTCTCTCATTATTTGAGCTCTTCCACTCCCGTCGCTATTCCCGATCCATCCTCCTTCTCCTTAACCCTCCCCTCGCTCCCGTGTCATCGCACCAGATGTCCATCATTAGATGGCTGGCTCAAGCAACCTATACGGCAGCCTCATTCACTCGCACTCGCAGAGGGCGACAGCGGCGAGAGAGCGCTCTTCCTATCGCCGTCGCCCTGCGGCGGCGTGGCAAACCCACCGGCTGGGCGGGACTGCACAGGCGTCGAGGGCGCGGCCGTCTCTGCCTTGCCAGCGCCGCCACTGCTGCTTGCCGCGGCATCGCCCTCCAGGGTCCCGCTGCCTTCTGCCTCTGCATTGGCCAGCTTCTTCGCTGTCTTTGCCTTCGGCTTGATGGGCTCCGCAGCCGCTGGCTTCGCAGCGGTGGGCGAACTGCTCGCGGGCCTCTTGCGCTGCTGTTTCGTCCTGCCGAAATTCTGCACCCCGAGATCCTCCAACATCTTGATCTTGATGTTCAGCGCCTCCTCGTTGGTCACCGTGCCCTGGGCGACCTTTTCGGCGAGCGCCGACGCCCAGTCCAGGGCTGTTTGGTCCATCGTCTTGCCCTCGACAACCGACTTCTCGAAGTGCTTCACGTCGACCTGGAGGAGCTGGTCGTGGCCGACCTTAATGCACGTCAACTTCTGTGGGGGCTTGTCTTTGACGTTGTTGTTGCGGAGGTAGGCCTCCACCTTGATGCCCTCGGCATTCTCGCCCAGGAAGCCCTGGTTGGCAGCGTCGCGAACCTTCTTCCCACCGCCGCCGCCACCGCCCGTGGTGTGTTGCTCCCCCAACGTCGCTGCTCTGTACCTGCTGACCGTGACGTTGCCGATTGCGACCTCATTGACCACGCCGCTTTCGTCCTTGAAGACCGCGATCATGGAGTCCGTGGCGCGCGCCTGTTTCGGCTCCTTCATTCTCACAGCGTATTCAGGGTGGTCCTTTCTCTTGCCCTTGACCGTCCTGTAGGCCATCTTCGCGCTGGAGTCGTAGGCGTAGTCGTACTCCACCTCCCCCGAAGAAGGAGACGGTTTCTTCCCCGCTGGCGGCTCGGCCTTGCGGGCTGGCTTCTTCGAGACCGTCTTGCTGTCGTCTGGGCCCTCGTCCTCGTCGACCTCCTCGTCGACCTCCTTGTCTTCCTCCTCTCCGTCCTCCTCGCCGCCATCGGCGGTGTCGCCCCAGTCCTCGTCGTCGTCGTCATCCTCGATGTTCAAGTTGAGGCTGGAGAACCACGACGGAGGATTTTCTTTCAGCAAGTATTGGGACACATGTCGAAGCATGGCCTTCACTCGCTTGGCCATCTCTATTTTCCAACTGTCCAACTCCTGCTTCGACTTTAACTGGACCTGGTTGGCGGCCGCGGCCTCGGCAAGACCGCGTTGAAGGTCTGGACGCTTGATGGCCAGCGTGGTGCTAACCTGGGAGAATGGTTCATTCGAGGATTGACTGAGGTGCACGGGGTTGCATGTAATCATCATCATCATCATCATCATCATCATCATCATCATCATCATCCCCATCATCACCATCATCACCGAATCCTCCCACCATTTCAAGATCACCCCTCCCGTCCTCGAGAGCACGTTTCGAGTGAGTTCGTTCACGGCACAGTTATATTTCACATCAAATGTTTCCTCGAACAGGTCTGGAGTAGGATATGAGAGATACGTTTCGGGCGAGGCTGGGTGTTTCACTGACTACTGACCTTCAGCAGCCGCCTGAGCAAGGCGGCGTTCTGCTCGATAGGCTCTCGCTGGATACCGCCGCCGTCATGGCGGTACTTAAGCCAACTGGCCTTAGTCACCGAAGGCTGAAATGCTTTGCCAATAGGCGAGAGCTCCTCCGTGGGAGCGGAGTCAGACCCCATAATGCAGTGCTTGAGCACAGACGGCTACGGAAAGGAGGAGGCAGGAGGGAGAGGGAACGGAAGATACAGAGGAGACGGAGGTGATGGAGTGGACGGGAGGTAATACCAGTAATCGCAAGATTGAAGAGAGGGTGGGAGAAGGAACGAGAAATGCGAGTTGAGGAAATTGTACTTCGATGGAGGAGGGAGGAGTTAAGGGGTATACCAGGAAAGAGGATAGGACGCAGCTGAGGCGGGGTGGTTTCCGCCACAATGCCGTGAGCACGTAGTGAAGCGCCCCAGGGCTCATACAGTTTCGAGTGCCGAGCGGAGGGGCGATTGGGCGGAGGATACCACGGATGGGAGGTGAGGGGCCGGTGCAGGGGGAGCCGCCGCGGTGGCCTGAGCCGCCTCCTGCAGGCGCTTCTCGAACGCCTGCTCGTCGAAGGAGGCGGCCGGCCCGTCCTGCGCAGAGCGCGGCGGCCGGGGTAGAGAGGTCGACGACGGTCGACGGGCAAAAAACGGGCGAGAATCGGGCAAATATCGGGCAAAAATCTAGCAACGGGCAAAAATCGGGCAAAAATCAGGCAAAAATCGGGCAAAAATCGGGCAAAAATCGGACGAAAATCAGGCAAAAATCAAGCCCCCCCGCGCGAGTCCTCTCTGCGCGGCTGCGAAGCAGGGATCGCGTCGCCGTCCGCGTCGCGGTCGCCGGCCTCCTGGGAGCGCGCGGCCACGCAGGACGAGACGCCAGGCCGGGGTTTAGGCTAACGGCTAACACGAGGCCACCGACTGCAAGGAATATGGCGGGGAAGGTGAGGAGCAGGAGGTGATGTGAGCAGGAGAGGGAGGAGGACTAGGAGTAAGGAGGTAAGGAGGGCGAGGACGAGGAAGTAGGGTTCGGAGGGACACATATTCGCAGACATCTTTACCCCGAAATGCAGTCGCAGCGACTACAAGATCAAATCGAGCGGCCCTTCCCGCGGCCACCCTCAGGTCAGGGAGGGGACCTCGTCAATCATCGAACTCCATTGGGAAATCGTCGCCCTCGTCAAGCGCGGCCTCGAAAACGCTCCTCCACCCCGAGGCTAATGAGAATGTCGATCCCCCAGCCGAGTATGTCGAATTGCCATCGTCGAGCACATCGTAACCAGGCACCGCATCGAGGCCCAACGGAGAGAGGCTCGAGTCGGACACGAAGGACATCGCATCATCGCTCCACTCGTCGATATCTATACGGACTTCGATGACAGAGTATGGCATCTTCTCCCTCCTTCTCATCCTTTCCTCCTCCTCTCATATCCCCCTTCGTCTCATCGTCATCTTCTCACTCCTTCTCATCCCCTCCCCCTCCTTCTCATCCTACTCTATTTTTGAATGCCCTGGTCCTGCGCTGGGGGCACATGCGCCGCCGCCGCCGTCTCCTGCTGGCGCCGCGCGTTCGCCTGGGACACCACCGCCTCCCTCTCCAAGGCCGCTTGCTGGCTGCTCATGGGCTCCTGCTGGCTGTGCGTCACGGGCGGCGGCACTGGCGTCATCCCAAGCGCCTCCTGGCTCGCGCCGAAGGGCGGCTGAGCATCGTGGGGCCACGAGAAGCCTGCCCCCTCCGCCGCGGCAGCCACTCCTCCCTCCGCCGAGACGGCCTGAACGGGTGACTCACCCACGCTGACTCCACTCGAGGCGATGCCACCGCCCTCCAAGCCATCACGGGCACCGCTTGCAGCAGCTGCCGATCCGCCCGAGGCGATGCCACCGCCCTCCGCCCTGCGGCGCTTGACGCGGGTTGCCAGCGGCAAGACGTCGCTCGACTCGCTGCTGCTGCTGGCGTCGATGGGCCGCTGTGGCTTGCTTGACACCACGAGCGGCTCCGCCGTCCTCGGCTCCCCAGGCAGCGGGAACGAGTCCGGCAGCGTCGACGAAGCAACCTCCGCTTGGAGGAGGACGAGGTGAGGCGGATCCCCCGAAACGGGGCGCGGAGGAATAAAGGTCGACGACCGTGCTGACGAGGATCGGGAAGACGAGGGATAGAGGGAGAGGAGGAGGAAGAGGATGAGGAGGAGGAGGAGGAGGAGCAGGAGCTGCGGCAGCAGCAGCAGCAGAGGGAAGCAGAAGAGGAGCCACCTCTTGGCGGCTCGGCCCTGCAGCGGCGGCCGCGGCGCTCTTCGGCAACGAGAGGAACTGGCGGGTCGCCGCGGCGCCAGCGGAGGCGTCCTGGCGGAGCAGGGGTTACAACAAGCAAGGATGACAAATGAGGACGGAGGAGAAGGAAAAAAGAGTGGGCAGTCCAGCCGCTGCGCCCCCGGCAGCTGGCCCTTGCGCAGGGCCATGGGCCCTCGAAATCGCCGCGCGCAAACGCGCGCCTCAGGAAACTTGAGAAGAGGCACGCTTGCGGAGCCAACGGGCGATCCTCCTCATCCTCCTCCCTCCTCTCTCCTTCCTTCCTCCCCATTCCTCTCTCCGCTATCGTTTTTCCGTGTAACTCCTCCCTCAGTTTGTTCTCTCCTCCCTACTTTGCTGTCCTCCGAGACCTCCGCCGTGCACTCTTATTCCTTCTACCCTTATCCGCTGCCCGTCTGCCTTATCTGATCTATTACTCGTATCGCGGTACACACGCCCACGTGCACACATACACACGCATATATATATATATATATATATATATATAGATATATATATATATATACATATATATACACATATGTGTATATATATATACACATATGTATATACATTCTCTCTCCCGACCGCACGCACAAACGCGCATGCACAACCACTTTTTCGAAACATCGGCCTCCGCGTGACGTCCACGCACGCGCGCGCATACATAACACACAGACGCCGCACTTTTTAACACCTTTTTCTTAGATTCTGAAGCTGACTCCGCGTTTTTGGTTTTTCAGAAACCAAAAAGAGGAGGAGAAAAAAAAACACGTTTTCAGAAAATCTGGACCTCTGGGTTGTTGCCAGAAAAGCAGCGGTGGGCGACGACGGGGGGCGCGGCGCGCCGCCGCCCAGAAAGCGCCTGGGCGCGCCCCTCGAGCTGCCAGAAGACCCGGGGTGGAAGTCGCGGAGCCTCTTGCCCCTGCGGCCCCGCCGCCTGCCAAGAGAGTTGGCAGTCGGCCAGGTGGCTCGGCGCGCCATCCACATGGTGTCGAGGGTTTGGATGCCCATGCCCAACCGTGCCCCCAGGCCTTCAGGCAGTGGCAGCAGACGCCTGCGCCCTGCGCGGCCGCCGCCACCCCCCCGCAACTTGCAGGCAGGCATCCGCCGGCGCCCCCCAGCCCGCCCGTTCACCTGCCCCGCGGCCAACGGCGAGAAGTTCCGAATCCTCTAGCCCGCCTGGCCGGCAGCGCCAGCCGCGCCCCCGACCCTGGAAGGCTCCCCGAAAAGGGGGGGTCGAGCGAAAGAGGGATCCGAGCACAGCCATGCCGATCAGATTCGTCGACTCGAGGCGATGCGGCACCTCCCCGAGCGGGCGTTCCTCGGCCACTCCAGACAGCCCGGGGGCTCGCGCGAGAAGTCCCGACGGGGGTTCGCATTGCGGCTCCTTGAAGCGCACCCCGCGCTTTCCGCTGCCCTGCCCCGCCCTCCCGGGCCTCGCGCAGCCCGCCCAGGCTGGGCGGTGGCCCCCGAGGCGGGAGGGGCAGTAGGCGGCGGGCCCGCCCGGCGCCCCGCCCGCCGCAGGTTGCGCCGGTGCTGCTGCGAGCCCCTCTTCGAGGCCTTGTCGCCCAACCTCGCGCCTCTGCCACCTCCGCCCTTCGTGGCCCCCTCGGCAGACCACTTCGGCTGGGGCTGGAACTCCGGCCTGATGCCCTCGCCCTTGCCACGGCTCCTTGGCCGTGCACTGGGCGGGCGGGGGGCGACCTCGATGCCCGCGGCGATCTGCCGCTGTCGCCGAGATCGCCCGCGCCCGCCTGGTCGGACGGCGCCCCGCCGCAGCCCCTGGACGAGCGCGGGAGGCGAGGCGAATGGGACGAGCAGAGTTGTAGAGCTGCCTTCGGGGCGGGCTCCGCGAGACGCGCGCCCCGTCGCGCCCGCGGTCGCCCGGCGGCGGACTGCGATCAGGGGGCTCCGCCCCAGCTGCGGCCCCCGGCAGGGGGCGAGACGCGAGGCCCCGATCGCGCGAGCCGACTGGGCCACGGGGGCCCGGCGAGCCTGACCGCGAAGGCGCACCGCTCCTCGGCGGCTCCCCCGCGGGCGTTTCGAATGAAGCGTCGGCCTTGGACCTGGCCCCCAGCTCCCGTCGTGCCGCGTCCAACTTCTCGTCGCGCTGAGGGCCCCCCCCCGCTCCGCGTCGTCTGCGACGCTGACCCCCCCCCCCCCCCCACGCCCGCGACCGAAACGCGGCGAGCCACGCTCTGCGCCCCTTCCATCGGCGCGCGGGAGTTCGATCGCCCTGCGCCGCCGCGCCGACGCATCCGCTGCCGCGCCGAGCCCGCCGCGGCGACAGCGGCCCGCATATGCTGTTCGTTGCTTTGACGCAGTTTGCCCTGTCTGCTGGCTGCGCAGCGCCCTTGGCCTCGCGACCATTGCCGACCAAGTAGCTTCGCATCTCCCCCAGCGCCCTCTCGGTTAGCTCGCCCGGCGTCTCCCCCGCAAGACGCGTGGCCCCGTCGCGCGCGGAGGGGCGGGCGCCGGGGCAACCCCGCTCTGAGCTCGAAGACGAGGCTGAGCCAGACGAGTCGTCCTTGCGCCGCCTCCTTGCTCTGGCCTCCGGCGGCGAAGCGCGCCTTGCGCGCCCGCTCCCGCCGCGGCCCAGTCGAGTCGCCCCGCGGCGAGCTGCTGGTCTTCCTCGATGCCTCGTCGAGGGTCCGAATGCGCAGACGCGAGGTGCCTTCTCAGGCCTGCCTTCGCCGCCCCGAGCGTGCCCGGCAGCCCTCTCGCGCGGCTCGCCCAGCCTCTCAGCGTGACCCTCCTCGCGACCCTGCTTGCGAGCGCTGGCGCCCCCCTAAATCCTTTGCGGCGGCGGTCGGCTCGCGCGCCGTCTGCTCCTGGCCGCTCGCGACCGCCGTTCGGACGCACGGGGGGCTCATCTACCTCGACGCTCTCGGAGCCGCCGCTGGCCTGGTTCGCCTCGCGGCGAACCCTTCGAACCTCGTGCGCCGCGCGGCCCCCGGCGTCGCGGGCGAGCGCGTCGCCCCTGTACCCCGCGGAGGGCAAGCGAACGTGGCGCCAGCGCCCCACGTGGATCACCGCTGCGCCAACCAGCACTTTTCCCTCGCGGCATTCACTTGGCCGCGCGCCGGGCGAGCAAGTGTGCTGCGCCGCGCAGGGGCGTGGAAAGGGTCGTCGATAGAAAGCCGCGGCCAGCTGATGCTGCACCTGCGGTGTCTCCGCCCCCAGGTAGGCCGCAACCCACAGCGGAACCTCACGCGGGTCGGCGGGATCGGGCTTGCGGCTATCCTCCTGCGCCGCCTGCCCCAGCACCTTGAGGGTCGCGTAGCCGTACAGTCCGACTCGAACCTCAATCATCAACGGCTGGTCTTTCCGAGGTCGGGCCAGCAACGCTATCCTCGCCGTTTTCGTCGCCGCTCGGACCGCGACCCGCGGACAGCGATCGGCGGAACGCCGACCGACGAAGGCCCGTGGCGGCAACCTGCCTCGCGCCTCCTCGGCCCCGCGACCGCGAGCCCCAGGGCCACCAGCAGGCGCCCGCAAGCCACGGCGGCCCTTGGTGCCTCCGCCGCCCTTCGCGACGCGAGGGCCGCCCGAACGTCCACGCCCGCCGTGGCCGCCTCCGCCGTCGCCGCGCCCGCCGCCACCGTGCGAGCCGCGGCGTCGCTTTTTGCCTCGCACGGCGCGGCCACGCCCGCAACCTCCTCAGCGCCCCGCCGCTTTTCCCTGGGCGCCATCACCCGCGGTGGGCGCCCGACCTCCCCCGCAAGGGAGGACCTTTCCCTGCGGGGGGGCACTCGCACGGCCCGCGCGCAGGCGCGAGCGCGTCGCGCGCGCGGGGCGGCGCCAGCACCTTGCCTGAACCCGAAAGACTACATAAGCAAGAGGGGAGGAAACGTCGTCGCACCAATATGCATGAGCGAAGAACTTCCCATATTTTCCGGTGGTTCGACGGACATTTGCGTTGTGCATCTTGTTCCCTCCCGATTTGTGGTACATGCCGGGAGCGCTGCCCTTACCACTGTCGGCTGTCTTCCGCAGTCGCCGACACCGCGGCGGACCCAGCCAACGCACTGGGCGCCCACAACGTGCACTCACTTGTCGAGAAGGGGATCAACTACATAATGAATTTACTCCAAAATTAATTTCCCCGCCGAGTATGCAAGAAACAAATAGAAACATCGTGGATCTACGGGACATTGTACGTATGTGTTCATAGATTCGGCGGGAAAGTCAATTTTGGGGTAAATCGTTTCTGTAGTCGATCACCCACTCGAACTTGGCGAAACCTCGGCTCCGCGACGGCCCCGGATCGAATTACGCAAGGCCCCCCCTGCGTTGCCGGACGCGTGCGCTCTTTGGCCCCCCTCGAGGCCCTCTACAGGGCATGCTTGCAAGCCTCTTGCGCTCCCGTGAGGGCCTAGGGATGAAACCGCACCCTAGGACACATGCGTACTGCGTACGCCCGAACGCATATAAAAGCGCACACATGCCAACTCACCCGCACACATCCGAACGCAATCACGCGCACACAAACGTACATGCACATAAACACGTTCACCCACTCTCATGGAAGTATTTCGCACACGAAATGATGGAGGCTGGCCACATCCAGTACATTATTATGTGTATCTCAGATTGCCACTTGTGCATAAACATGCCCTGAATCATACATGCCCGGACGCTGCCAACTATCTATGTATAGTCGGTTAATCTTGTACAGGCGTAGACACGAAACAATGCGGCGATGCCGATGCACTCGCACATACACATGTTTAGCCGCGGTGCAGCATAAGTCTGCGTATGTGGTCATCACAGGGGCTTCCGAAGGAGGGGCTCCCGAAGCACTACTTCCTGGGCTTCCTGGAGGCTGCCAGAGCTAGGTACTGAAACGTCTAAGTGCACGTTGTCGTGCAGTCAGCATTCGAGCATACTGTGTGCACGTCGCGCTGGCGGGACTGGCATAACGTCTAAAGGTGTCCATTCGTAGGTCCAGGCTTCCGCACGGGCAGACGTCTTCGGGTTCGGGGACATCCCGAAGAAGAGTGAGAGGGAGAGAAAGAGGGGAGGAGTGAAGGATGGACGAAGAACGGGAAGGAAAGAAGGTCCACAGAGGTCTCCAGTCCGCCAGGAGGTCTCCTGAGGTCTCCGGAAACCCAAAGGAACAAAAAAACGCGTACGGTCGGGAAGTTTTGCTCAGCGTGTCGCCACGGCCTCGTCGACATGCTATGCCTTGCTAGCGGATAGCGTATCGCTCCGCTCCACGGGCCGAAGTCGGGAAACGCTCGGGACGTTGGCGATTGGGCCAGGAAATGGATAGCGTGTCGCGCCGAAGCGTGGCGGGCCAGAACTGGACGCGCGACACGCTAATCGAAAGTTACCGACCACAAACACCTCGGCGACGACGCCGACAACGACGACGACGACGGCAAAGACGACGACGAACGACGGCGACGACGACGACGGACGACGAACGACTACGACGACGCCAACGCCCACGACGGACGGCCGCGAGAGACAGACAGACGACGAACGAACTATGGCAGCCAGCGGCGGCGGCGACGCCCACCTCCAGCAGGGACGCGGCGTCTACGTCGACGCGCCACGAAGCGGCCCCTACTGGCGGCCAAGCGGGGCCGCCGCCGTCGCCGCCGGGGCCCGCCGAGGCGAGCACGGCGCCCAGCGGACCCTGCGCCCGCGGCCATTGCCGCCACCGTCGGCGTCTGCGTCGTCGTCGCCGTGGTCGTCGCCGTCGGCGTTTGCGTCGTCGTCGCCGTCGTCGTCGCGTCGTCGACATCGGCGTCGGCGGCCGTGGCCGACGCCGCCGTCGTCCCGTGGTGGTTCTGCTGCTGAGGCTGATAGCTTGTCGGGGGGCTCCCCGAGACTTCTGATGAGGCCTCCCTCCTGCTCCTCCACCCTCGTTCCTCCTCCTCAAGCCTCCCTCGTTCCTCAGACTGGCCGGCCGCTCTGCGCGCGAGCCCGCGCGCTCTAGCGCGGCCGCAGCGATGTGCCAGCCGGCGCCAGGCAGTCATCGCAATCGCCGCCGCATGGGTTCTGCAAGCCAGGTTGCTGGCGGGTGGGTGGGACGATTGCGCGAGAGCAGTGGAGTTGACAATCTCGAGTTCGGCAGGTCTCTCAAATATTCGGATCTCCCCCCCCCGCACGGATTCAACCGCCCCGTTTCTCGATTTTCAATGTACACTCGATTCTGCCCCATCGTCCATCCGATCCAACTATCGGAGGTGAGGCAGTAAGAGCCCCCCTACCAGGAAATCGGTTTCGGTTTCGTGTTCGTGCGTGCCGTGCGTGCGGGCGAGGCGAAGCTGCGTGGGCGGGCGAGAAATGTCCCGCCTCTGGCTGAGGCGCGGCCGGACCAAAAGTCTCCCTTCCGGTAACCGGTGCCGCGCGGTGTCCCGCCGGTGTCCCGTCGGTGTCTCGATGATGATGATGCTGGTGATGATGATGATGATGACGACGACGATGTTGATGATGATGATGATGATGACGATGATGATGATGATGATGATGATGATAATGATGATGATGATGGCCATGCTGGTGATGATGATGATGATGATGGTGTCCCGATGATGATGATGATGATGATGATGTTGATGATGATGTTGCTGATGATGATTTCCCGACGATAATGACGACGATGATGTTGATGATCCTTGTGATGTTGTTGATGATGAGATGATGAGATAGAGATGATGATGATGATGGTAACCCGATGATGATGATGAGGTTGATGATGATGCTGTTGGTGATGATGATGGTGATGATGATGGTGTCACGATGATGATGATGTTGATGATGATGATGATGACGATGCTGGTGGCCCGATGATGATGATGATGTTGATGACGAGGGATGATGGGGTGATGGTGCTGATGATGATGGTGGCAATGATGATGATGGCGTCCCGATGATGATGATGCTGCTGAGAATGATGATTGTGTCCCGATGATGATGATGACGATGTTGGTGATGTTGTTCATGATGATGATGAGATGATGACGATGGTGATGATGGTGGTGTTCCGATGATGATGATGGTGATGAGGTGGTGATGATGTTGTTGATGATGATGGTGACGCTGATGGTGCCTCGATGATGGTGATGATGGTGATGGTGATGATGGCCATGGTGGTGATGATGATGGTGTCCCGATGATGATGGTGATGATGATGTTGATGATCCTGATGTTGGTGATGATGACATGATGATGGTGTCCCGGCGATGATGTTGATGATGCTTATGTTGATGATGATGGTGATGATGATGGTGTCCCGATGATGATGTTGATGATGCCAATGATGACGTTGATGACGATGATGGTGTTCGATGATGATGATGATGATGATGAGGATGATGAAGTGATGATGAGTTTGGTGAAGGTTGCCCGTTGATGATGATGATGCCGATGATGATGATGATG